TCCCATTTTTAATAAGTTAACAATTGAAGATTGACTTCATCAAGTAAGTAATCCATATTTTAATCAATTAGGGACATGCATACTATTGGCCAAGGTGCGTGGAATAATATTCCAAGATATTAAATAGGAAATAATATCTTGAGATAATGGTGAAATCCTAACACCATGGTTGGCCTACTTCCCTATATATACCTCCATCTTTACCAAATTAAGATAAGCTTTTGCTACCCCTAAAATCTTTAAACACATACTCTTTTAAGAGAAATTAACTTAGGCATCAAAGGTTATAGTGGCATAACCCCTCCCCCACCTCATGGGCGCGTGAGGCTTAGGCCAAATTGGTTCTTTCATTGAGAGCTTAATTCAAATACTCAAAAAAGACTGGCAATTGGTTTTTGGAATTTTCTGTTATGTTGAATTTCTCACACGCGTCATTTAATTTTTCCTAGAAAAGTTTCTTGATCAGTCCCTGGAGAAAGGATACAATGGTAGGAAATTCTAAAATCACAACGAACGGAACCCTATGCATTCAAGGATTTAGCCCGGAAAGTGGAGACAAGGACGTGGCCCCCAACGACAATCCTCAAGGCTCAAAGTGATGGCAGGAGAAGCCCCACCACCGAGGGGCTACACCACCACCACTGCCACAACCTAGTAGCCATGGCAGGGCCACCGGCCACGACCCAAGCAGTTGTGCTGTAGCCTTTGCAATGCACCAACCCTCAAAACCCTGGGTAAGAGGCCCAAGTCCATGCAATGGCCCATGCGTAGGAGGCCTAGGTCCTCTAAGTTGCAGGCCGAGCTAGGGAGGCTTAAGCTACAACAGTTGGAGTTGCCAGCCATACAGCCGAAGCCGCAGTGGCCTAAGCCTAACTTGCTGCATATACAGCCCGAACCCTGCGAGAGCAATGCTGGCCCAAAGGTAAGTGGCCCACGTATGAACCCAATGCATTGCCTATCCAGTCAAGTAGGATGACCTTCCCCACGATCTGTTCTGGCAGTCCGTCTCGTGGCCCAGATTGGTCCAAGACCACTTCATGCTGTTCGAATTTCGATGGCTAGATCGAGAATGGACTAGGGATATTTTCACCCTATTTTTTTTTTTTTTGCAAGTATGCATATTATGGGCCCGAGTTTTGCACTTACGGCTCATTAGTCTTCCACCACAAATTAAGACACCCATCATCTATACTCTTCTACCCAATTGGCGAATATCACTTGTCCTGATAGGTCGTCGACCTAACTAGCCCTCACGTAGCAGACAACCTTGGTGAATCAGTTCATTGAGCACATTAAGACACAAAGTGCCCTAGATGAGGTGTTCAGAAGTAAAACAATAGTAGACGATCGTGACTCTTTCCAGCGACGTCCCGGCAAGGAGCCGCTCAATCTGCCACGAACAGAGCTTTTTCAGGCAGTATGCACTCTCAGCTTGGCCCTTAGGAAAACGTCTTATTCTACCTCAGAGCGTAGAGAAGCGTTCATTTTCTACTTGGTACACTGAGTCAAGGTGCATTCGAGGTTGGGTTCACACTCCGACGAGCACTACAGGCATTCATGGTGAAGCGTCGCCTGCAAGGAGATCTTCATATGAGGCATCGAAGTAAGCAGCAACACGATAGACAAAAGGAAGCAAGAGAACGGGTAAACCCAACTAGTAGCCCACACCAAGCGCAACGGCTAGCAAGCCGCTTACTAGCTAGAAATGAACAACATACATCGCAATCGTGACACAGACAAGTAGGACAAGCGGAAGAACAGTACATGCCAGTAGTCAGCACCGGGATTAGCCAGAGGTTCCTTGCCCCCATCAAAGGCAAATCCAGGAGAAAGTACAAAGGCTTATAATAGAGCAGTTGCGCGGATTTGAGCGCATTGAAACCATCAATGATGCCCTTTAGGGATATATGGCCCAACATGAGCAAGTCACCATTCACAGACGAGGTTGAGCAAACGAAGCCACCACAGAAGTTTAGCCCACCATATTTCACCCTTTTCAAGGGAGACGAAAATCTAGAGAAGCATTTGATGCACTACTAAAGTGATATGATCCTTTACAGCAATAATGACGATCTAATGTTCAAGAATTTCGCCACAACATCGCAAGGCAAGGCGTAAGATTGGTTTCACACCTTACCACCACGTTGGATTGGGTCACGTTTGAGCCCGAAGAAGAAAGAGGAACTCATAGCTATTTGTCGATAATGATGAGCATATATCACAAGCAAAAGGAAGATAAGTAAACTAGTAAAGCGATAAATTGCACGGGATGTTTTTGGCCTGAAAAACCCACCTCTACGTTAAAAAATCGAGGACTCTCCACTGAGTCCAATCCATTAGTGAAATCAAGATTCTTACAAAGTAACCACACAATGAATTCCTAGATCCTAATCTATGGAGCAGTTTGTACCTTTGTGCAACCTTACTTCATGAAATGGACTCCTTCGATCTTCACGAAGTGGCAGCTCCTCCTGAGCTCTTCACTCGTGGCACCGAAATCCAATCAACTTATGCGAATGATGTTATGATGAAGTTGATGCAAATCTGGATTCGATGAACAAACCTTTGATGAGAAATTAAGCTCTTAAAGTGATATTTCCAGTAGCATGATTCCAAAAGTAGCAATTTAACTTTAAATCTAACTAGAGCATGTGTAGTACAATTTACAATATTTGATAAGAAAAGCCAAATAACAAAACTAAACTTCACAGAATGGCTCAACAAAATCGTAAAATTATGAATAAGCACATGATTCGAATGACGAACATAATACTTTCCCATATAAGCCTCAAATGTTTGTCGAATTAAATCATTTCTCAATTTTGTGATTATCTTAATTCGGCCTTGGAATATTGTACCCCAACAATAGTAGTTTTTTATTTTAGCTTAAAACACAACCGGTGCAGTTGAATTTCCACTGCATATGGCACGGAAGCCGGTGAAAACAGCAGCAAAAGTGCAATTTTCACATTATATTGGAGGAGATGCAGTAGTACTTGCCACGATTGTACGACTTTGTTACCGACATGGTGTTCCGTGTCCATATATCACGTCTGCTCTTTTTAGACAATTAAACTACTTCATTTTTATAGTCAAACATAACTTAATCTTTTTATTTTTGTTTTTTTTGTCAAACAATAGCTTTTGTTAGATTAGAAATTAGATTAATCACTGATGAAGTTCAAACTCACACCTTCACAACTTTAATTAAATTGGAGCAATGATCTCTCAACTAAAAATCCATTACTATTGGTCTCTCAACTTATCAAAATGTGTAGCTATGGTCATTTTCATCAACTTTATCAAAATTTTGTCAAATTGAGTTATGTTGGAATTATCATTGCTACAATTAGGATTCCTTAATTCATCAAAACGTGTAGCTATGATCATTTTCGTCAACTTTATTAGAATTTTGTCAAAACGAGTTATATTGAAAGGACCATTGCTACAATTGGGTTAAAGTTGAGGGACTATTGCTTAAATTGGTTTAAAGTTGAGGACCATTTCTCCAGTTGAATTAAGGTTGAGGGACCAATGGTAAATGATTTTTAGTTAAGGGACCATGGCTGCACATTTTGATGAGTTGAGGGACCAATGTTAATGGATTTTTAGTTGAGGGATCATTGCTCTAATTGAGTTAAAGTTAAAGAATCATTGTTACAATTTACTCTTTGTTTATTTTTTGCAAAGTTCATATTTATAGAGTAGTCTACAAAATAAACGATTTCAACCATCAAATAACATTGTAAGCTCTTAGAAACAATAAAAAGGTTCAAAGAGAAAATAGCTATCATTCTTCCCAGTTTGTATGGAACGTAATTTGAAATTTATTTGTAACCAGTTTATAATTAATTCATATCATAACACACCATCACGTTAAATTCGCTTAAAAAAGAAAAGAATCTCCAAACTAAATAGGACACAAGTATAAAAGCAAGACTTCGTTTACCCAAAAATTAAATAAATAAAAAAGAAATAAAAAAAGAAAGAAAGACTTCACCATAACAAAAACAAACAACACGAGATTGTTCGTTCCCAGCTAGATCTGGAGATTCTGGACGGCTGCGGATATGGGGTGAAGTCCTTTCCTTCCTCACCACCTTACACGTCCCGTCTCTTTTATATTTATGTCTAGTATTATGAAGATTAAATTTTATGAATTAAATAACATAGAAGCTGATAATTTCATTATTACTTAAAAGTTGATTAACGTGCTTATTTTTTATTGATAACACATTATTTAGTTTGTAAATTTAATTTATAAATTTAGTCTACCTAACATTATACTGTATTTAATATTAGGCTAGTGCTAGAGAAACTAAATGCGTATGTTAAATTTTGTAAACTAAATGACATGAGAGTTGATCATTGAATTATTACTTAAGTGTTAGTTAACATGTTTATTTTTTATTGGTGACACATAATTTAGTTTATAAATTTAGTCTTCTTATCAAAATCTTTAATATTAATATCATATTCCAAACTTCGTTTAGGATAACAAAACTTTATAAACTAAATAACATGAAAATTAATCATTAGAATATTATTAGTATCATATCATTTAATTTATAAATTTAATTTCCTAAAATTACCCTCCTTTTAATATTTTCTTTTTCCAAGTTTTCTTTTTTTGTTCACCTTTTATCATCAACCATTTGGTTCCTCCTTTTAATATTTTCTTTTTCCAATTTTTCTTTTTTTATTCACCTTTTATCATCAACCATTTGGTTCCTTTTTTCCTATAAATTCCATCTTTAAACCCCTCATAGTCCTCCTCTCTTCCCCCTTTTGCCTTGATATTCCTCTTTCCTTCTGATTTTTTTTGATCCTGCAACCCATTTCATCCCTCTGGGTTTTCATCTCTCTTAGTTTTTCTCCCATTTGCTATTAAATTTGGGATTTTGGGTTCAAAATCCACAAACCCATCTCCAAAAAAACCCAAATTCTCTGAAAATCTCAAACTTTATGCTTCCCGGGAGCTTCTGAGATTGTTTCAGAAATACCCAAATCGTTGTTCTTTTTAGAAGCTTGTATCTTAAATTCTGAACATTTAGGTCTTGATGTTTGAGATTGATGATTCCAGTTCTGAGTGAAACCCTTCTCTCCGAGTGCATGATAAATTCCACATACAGGCGCAGGGACCATTTAGTTCAATCCTTCTCTGTCGTCTTCCTTTACTGGCTTTATTACGTTTCATGACTTCACCTCCCATCAAACCCTACAATAGTAATAGTAATTATAACTAATATTTCTACTAGTTTCTGCAGTTTTTGAGTTTTTGTTTTTGGGTCCTGCAATAATCTCTCCCTCAGTTAATTTCTGTGAAAATCTGCGAAGTTTTTCTGTGGTTTTTATCAATGGCTTCGTCCAGTGGGACATCTTCAGGCTCCTCCCCCATGATTCATCGAAACTCAGGCTCTGAGGAAGACTTGATGGCTCTGATGCACCAGAGGAAGAGGAAGAGAATGATTTCGAACCGCGAATCGGCGAGGCGGTCTAGGATGAGGAAGCAGAAGCACTTGGATGATCTGACGGGCCAGATCAACCAGCTGAAGAAGGAGAACCATCAGATCATCTCCAGCCTCAACATCACAAGCCAGCATTACATGAACATTGAGGCAGAGAACTCTGTTCTCAGAGCCCAAGCTGACGAGCTCAGCGGCAGATTGCAGTCCCTCGATGAGATTGCCAGTTTCTTGAATGCAAACAATGGTGGGCTCCATGCAGCTGCTGCAGATTCAAGCTGCTTCAATGAGCCTAATAACAGTTTCTTCGACCCCTTGAATCTGTCACATCTTAATCAGCCTATTATGGCCTCTACAGATATGTTTCACTACTGATCGTGATCGTGGTCTTGTTCGTGTTCAGGTTTATTCATTTATATCTGTGTCGTGTTTGTGCGGACTTACTGATACGATGCATATGAGCTTCTTTGGAATTTGGATCGATTAATAAAAACTAGAGAGAGAGGTGTGTAGTTTTATTTTACTAAGGAATAATTTTATGTGTTAGATGTAAAACAAAAGGGCTATCATGTTGGCGTTGGTCTGTAAATGAGCGCTATGGAATTTTCTTATTAGCTATTAATGTAGTTGTTTTCCTATTTCTTTTTATTATAATATTGACGAAGTTCTCTTCAATTTGTCTTTCTCTAGAATGTATGTGTAGGAAATTTGTGCAGCCCAATGACATCACCTCTTTATGTTTGACACAAACTCGTACTAAGGGTTTAGTCAAATTAAGTACGAGTTTGAGTTAAATTGAGAAGAGTAACGTATTTCGTTGGTATTCCGCATTTAAGTTTAAATTGTTTTATTATAATTTAGATAAATTTCATTTAGGAAATTTTTATTAGAATTTTAAAAATTTCATTTTGCTCTCTAAATTTTCTATAATTAGAAAGAGAATACACTTATGAGAAGTGTAGATTGAGATTTTTAAAGTACTAATAACAGTTCTCATACGATATATATATATTATCATTTTAAGAAGAAAAATAAGTGGTCAGAGAGATTAAATATTGACTTGTGAATTTCAAACATTTTTATAATGTCTTGATCCAATTAAACATGCAAGCTTTTTTTTTTTATTTTTTTTTTATCAGTAATGCACAATTCTGCCCACGCATCTTCAAGATTTTTTCTAAATTTTTGCTAAATTAGCTAATAAATAGTGTCAATAGCCAGAAAAATTAACTCAGCTCCAATAACACTCTATTTTAAGATAACATTAATATTTTATTACTTTTTCAAGAGAGCTATAAGAGGAAAGAAAGAATTGAATAGTTGGAGAGTTTTAATTATTTCTAATTGTTCAATGTTAAATTCTCTCTCCTCTTTTATAAATTTATAGAGTGACTATTCACTTTGTTAGTTTGAAGATTCAGTTTAAAGTGTCTCTTGGAGCAAGATTTGTTGGCTTTTTGCTAAAATAGTTTACAAATGTTGTTTTATAGTCATTTTAGGGCAACTCAAACACAGCCTTCACAAATATAACTTTTCAAATATAAGTTTGTAACTTATGTGACAATTTGAAGAGTAAAATTTGTTACTTCACAATCTTGTTTTCGAACAGACTTTATAAGTTTAATATTGCATTATATACTATCTAAATAAGAAACAAGTTGTCCCACATATTTTGTTATATTGAATTAATTGTGCGTGGGTAAAGGAGTTTGGATGAGGAGGGTATGGATAGGTGGCATGGGATTTCGCTGGGATTTTTAAAGGAGTGCCGGGGGGGGGGGATTTTTCATGTGAGTTTTAATGGCAGAGGCAACAAGCGGTGTGGGTGGTGTTGTTGGCTTGTGTTGATATGGAATTTGATGTGGTTCAGATTGAATCAGATTCTAAGTGTCTTGTGGATATTGGGGGGGGGGGTGAATTTTTCATGTGAGTTTTAATGGCAGAGGCAAAAAGCGGTGCGGGCAGCGTTGTTGGCTTGTGTTGATATGGAATTTGATGTGGTTTAGATTGAATCAGATTATAAGTATCTTGTGGATATGATTAATGGCAAGGGGGGGGGGGAATTTTTCATGTGAGTTTTAATGGCAGAGGCAAAAAGCGGTGCGGGCAGCGTTGTTGGCTTGTGTTGATATGGAATTCGATGTGGTTTAGATTGAATCAGATTATAAGTATCTTGTGGATATGATTAATGGCAAGGTTCAACCAAATGTTGTAACTGAAGCGCTTCTTCTTTATATTCAATATGTGAAGCAGCGACTGGGGTCAGTGGATTTTATTAGTGGTTGTTTAATACTTTGACTTTTAATGTAAACCCTTCAATTCGAATATAATGAAATTCTTACCTTCCAAAAAAAAAAAAAAAAATTAAAGGTAACGGTGAGAAAGGAAATTCTATGTTGCTCTACATATTTCTAAAAAATGTGAATTTAGCAATTCTCTTGGAGATGCCTTTATGCTTTTATCTCTAAGGTTAGCAAATTGGAACCAATTGTTGGATTGGAAGTTTGAAAAGTAGACATTTTCTTTAACACAATCAAGATTGGAAGTTTGAAAAGTAGACATTTTCTTTAACAAAATCAAGGTACTTATCCTTCTTTTTTCCTTTCAAAATTTAGGAATAATGCTCGAACCGGCTTCAAGTAATTAAAATTCTTAAAGTCTCACTTTGGCTAAAAGTCTAACAAATCTCAAAATTTAGCATGCCCTTATTGGATAGGGTGGTTATTATCATTGTAATCTATAATTTTTCTTACATAATCCACTTTAGACAAGGTGAAATCAAGAAAAATTAGGCCCCCTCAGATTCTCAAAGATAAGATCAGTATCAAAATCATCAATCGTATTCATGTGTGAAAGTTTCCAATCATCTTAGGCAAGAGGTGGTGATTGATCTTTCTTGATCACCAACCTAGATCTCCTTCTCTTTTGCAGAACTTGTTATATGGAGCTTTCATAGCCAACTTTTTCTGAGTTGTACCTGCATAGTTTTCATTGGTGAAAAAGATATTTTGCCTTGTGTAAAGAATCCTACTCCAAATTTTAATGGGTTAGGAAAAAACTCTTTGTTGTGCACTTGATTCCATTGCAGCTTTTGGACCACAAAGGTACGGAAATTAGAGTTTTGCATTTTAATCTTGATATTAATTTATTACACACTGGGTCAAAATAAGGGAAAATTCTACTCTGTTTTAGTGTGTGATATGCACCGAATGAATACAGAGTTAAATGTTTGGCTAAGAGTCTAATAACCAATGATCCAACGATCAAGAATTCTAGTATATAATATACACCATTGCATACTAGAAAAAAGTGCCACAACTAATGCTTTTCTCCTCATGGAAGCTCAATTATAGGTCAAGTAGTACTTCATATTATGATAGCCCACACATGTCCTATGATGTGAGGCTCTCCATGTTCTCTTTTCTAGGACTTTTTTGCAATGTAAATTTGAAAGTGATGAGAATGCATTTATTGATCTGCAATATATCGTTATTGTTATCTATGTGAGTTAAATGTGAGGCATCTCTAATCAAGTGGAGACATATATCATTAAAACAAAAACTATTTAAAACTGTTAGATCGATGAATTCTTCATTCTCTGTCCCAGTCTATATTAGTGACAGTTCGTTGTATTACGTTATAATTTTTTAGCAAAAGAAAGAGTATGTCAATACAAACAATATGGAGCAAAATATTTAATTTAGGCCATATTTGCTTATATGTTATTCTCACAAGATTTTAGACTTGATAATTTACTTTTCTTTGCAAGGGTAAAAGTAAAACCAACTATTGTAAATCTGAGAGAAAGGCAAAATGATGAATGAAATATTAAAAAGAATAACGAAAGGTAAAGGGTAATAAAACCAAGTTAAAGTTAATAAAACCTTATGATTGAATTACGGTTTAAGTCACCAAGTGGGTGCATGAAAAGCTCTAAAAAATTATAAATAAAAAAAAAAAAAATTATAAAGTCACCAAGTGGGTGAAGGGAACGGACAAGGATTGTCTGCCCTCCCACTTCCGGTGTCCTCCCATGCCCTTTTATTTGTGTGGTCACGGTTAACCCACATCAACATTTTATATTACTATTTATTTTTATCTTATTATCTCTATAAAAAAAACAATATAAAATGTTGACGTGACTTAACAGTGATCACATAAAACAAGAAGGTAGACAATCCTTGTCCGAAGGGAACAATTTTAGCACTGCAACTTCTGAAAGACATGTACACGATGAACTGAAGGAATCAGAAATAATGAAGTTATCGTTACAATATTAATTAATTTAATTAATTATACAAGATATACCTGCTAAACCGGCACAATTATCAAAATTAATGATAATCGGACAGTAAGCTTGTGCTTAGATGCTGCTTACATTACAATTAGCTTTTACGTGCATGTGTTTGTCATATTCATTCAGCATTTTGGAAACAAAACAATGATTAATCACATAATATTTGACATGAAAAGGAGGCACACTTTCATTAATTTACTCTGATTTAATTAGGAAGAGATGTTTAAAAAAAATATAAATTACGTATATTCAATTTTCTTTTTCTTTTTTATACAATGATATTTTACTCTAAGGAGATGGAAGATTGAGTTAGGCCACACAATAGATCATCTACGAAGTAAATATCAAACTCAATATATGTCATCGTTATTTATGCGAGTCAAATCTGAGACGTCTCACTTACTTAAATGTTCTGGAATCGGAATAGAAATGACACTTATTCCATAAAACTGTTTACTAATTCAGCAGAATCGGACTATAAACCAGTATGATTACTAAAATGCCCTTGTCCCAAATCAAGTATTTTATATACTTTTTTTTTGATAAAATTTGATATAATATATAATAGTAAGAAAAAAAATTAAATTGCTTTTTTATTTCATAGACACACTAAAATGCTTTTGTTTATTTATTTTTTATTTTTATAAATTTAAGTATTTACTTTAATATTTAAATTTTCTAGCTCAAGTTGTAGTTTCTTCTCTTCGGCATATGCATGAAGTTGTGCATAATGTGAATGAGCATGGAAATAAAAAAAAGTAAGGACTTATTATTATTATTTTTTTTTTTTGCAACGGATCGTAGCATAAACAAGGCCAGAACGGAAAGCCGACAACCAGCAAGCAAAGGTACACAACCATGAGGACAGAGAAAACAAACGACACCACCACAAGAAGCAAAAGTGTCACCCTATCCTCACACAAAATAAACTAAGCCGGGGAGCAAGGTAAACCATCTTTGTTTATAATTCTTACAAATGAAGATGGGGGCCTAATTACCCAGACAGAATCGTGCATCTTCGGAACCTGGTGCGATGCAACAAAATCTACCACTTTATTTCCCGATCTTGGAATCCAAGACCATTTGCATGTATGCAGTGAGGCACCAATGTCAACCACACGGGTCAGCACGGGGAAAACCTCCTAAGTCGATTTGTTAATAGATTCCTTCAATCAAGTGATGATAGGCAAAGAATCGGATTCCACAACAACTTGGTTCAAATTCTCCTACCGAGCGAGAAGACAACCCTCAAGCACAGCGAGAGCCTCAACAGCCGTCACACTTGACGCAGATACCTCTCTCCTCTTGACTGCAAGACATCGTCTAGAGGAGTCCCGAATCATCACTCCAACCCTTGACTCCCCTTGCCTCCAACACA